AGGCGACAAGAAACTTTCTGCTAGCTTCTTCTTATAATTCTCTTTAAGCGGCGAGACCACCGCCGATGCTGCTGCGGACGGGGACTGCTGCTGTTGATGCTGCTGCTGCTGCTGCTGCGGGGGCGGGGTGAAAAGCTCGAGCTGCCCCGCCTGCCCCTGGAGCGGCAAGCGCGGCTCGTCGACGAGGTGAAAGTGCGCAACGCCCAGGTCCATGGCGCCACGGTTTGGGATGAAACGGTCTCCGCCTCGCGACTTCGCCGGGGCGGACTGGTGGGGAATTGGCGGGGGAGGGAGCGCGGGATGGGAGGTGGGGGGGAAGGGGAAGAATTGGTCGTTGATTACTGGTGATGTCGTAGATCTGCGAACCATTCGCATACAAAACTCAGCCTATTTAGATAAGAACTCAGCGTGCAACGGTTGTGTGGGTGTGAGATAACATGCCCAACTTCGCGTACGGCCGCGCACTCGCTACGACGGCCAAAAGCAGCACGGCCCGCACCGTATGCACCAAAAACGGCTTAGCGGGCTGTAGGCAGACATCTTAGCCACAGCGGAATTTGTTGAATACCTCCCCAACATAATAATCGAAATGAACATTGGAGTATGTTCGAGGGGAGATGATACGCGGGAGGATTGAAAGAGGTCGCTTGTAAGGGCCTGTGGTTAATCTTCGAGCAGTACTGCAGGATTCGCGGAAACGGCATATTCAGATTCTCGTTATTTTCTCTAAGCAGCTGAGGACCGAAAGAATTACACTAGGCGTGAGTCGCAGCGGCGAGCGACGCTTCGATGGCGACGGGGACGCGAACAGCTGCTCCGCTGACGACGGCGTCGCCAAGCTCGCTTGCGACGCTGCCGTCGGCTCGTCGCCCGCCCGTCGCTTCCACAACCTCCCCTCTCCTGGCGACCGGATTTCAGCACCTGCATCGCCAGCGCGACGGTAATCTGCAACTCCAGCCACGGCGGTAGAAAAACCGTCGCTTCCGTTTCCGTTTCCGTCACCGTTACCGTTACCGTTGCCTCGACCGATAACACTGCCATAGTCCCCTGGCAATCCCTGGTCAGGAATATAGTGGCTCTGTGCAGCGGGGAAGATGGAAAAATCTGTCGCCACCAACCCGCCTGCACCGCCGACAGCCATGATTCCTCCTGCTGCTCTCACGGACTGTTCTAACCCCCTCCCTTCCCGCGTATTATTCTGGTGGTGCGAGCAAACGGAGGGAAGAAGGGTGAAATGGTCAGTGGCGATAAGTGCGATAAACGAGCGCATGCAACTATCGGGCCGGTCTAATCGACATCTCGTAAACCTGACGCACGGTGAAGAGGAGCGTGTGTAACTTCACGGGAGGAGTTGCGTCTAAGCCTTTCGGTAGCTTACTATCTGTCACTGGGAAAAGGGCCGCGCATAGTTGCCACAGAGAAACCTTAGACACGAGGATGACTCGGGACCGCGGGGCGATTTCGCGAGGATGCCACCGATGGAAGCCACAAGGTGGGAGTAGGGAGGGATTCCTCGTGCGATGCAGGGAGTTGGCGTTGTGTCTACTGAGGATGATCTGCTAGGACGGTATCGTGCCTGCATGCAATGAAATGAAAATGGAACCGTTCATGTGACGCGCGCCATCCAAGCTCCAGCCCCACAGCAGAGAGGAAACGCGGGCTGGTTTGTTATTTTCTAGTGGCTGTATCCCATTTCGGTGTTTTGTAGCCCAGTCATGCGACGGTCCACTCCGCTCCGCTTCCCATACACAATATTTAGCTACCAGCCCGAAATGACTGGATGCATTTACCCAGTCTACCAAGCTGAGCCGAATTCGACGCACGCGCTCGACTCTACAGGGTGGTTATTCACACAGCTGCCTAAGTAATGACTTACTGACTTATGCAACTGTGTCAGAATGACCTTAAGCATCTCGGTGGAACCCTCTTATAATTCAGTGTTGCCAGGTTTATGCCCTAAATCCCGATATTTCTTGCCAACAAGGGACCCCTCAACGGAGAGAGGGTCAGGAAACACAAATTCGAAGGTTGGGAAGGCGTCGTGAATTCCTCTGGGATCTGTTTCGTTGGGTCGTCATCAAACATTTCATGGCTTCCACATTCCAGCATTGCGTTGACGGCAACAGAGCGCGATGAGCATTTCGCCAATTTCTGTCTCGCTAGGGCAAGCCATGCAGTGCGGTCAACCACGAATGGGTGTGTTGGGTTCTCCAAGTCTGCCCAGTCACTGACGCACGCGTCGACATACAGACACATGCGGCTAGGAAATGTTGAATTGAGCAACCCGACGGGATGTGGGGCAGGCTGAGGAAGGATTGGATGGAGGTCCAAAAAACCCTACCTTCATCTATTTTTTGGGTGTGACACGCTACCAGCACCAGCACTGTGGACTACCCGCTACGCGTGCGTGAACGTTCTCGCCAGTGCAAAATTGATGAGAGTCGCGGGGCTCTTTGAATTCGAAACTTCGACGGCCTACCTGACTTTGCAAAATATTTAGGTAAAATATCCGAAACGCCAGAAAACAAAAGGGTGACGTAGCGTTTAGGCGTGTAACCACCAAGTCGATGCGCGGATTGGTATCGCGGTTCGCAACGTTGTCCAAAATTTCCATGCTTACAAACGACTCGCCAAGGGGTCCTGGCGGGAATCCCAACATGGGCCGTCTTCTTACCCTCCAATCTTCGTTTTTGGACGTGCTGTTCCATTGGGTATAAACTTACATCCTTTCAAAACAAACATCACGCTAAGTTGACAACATATAGTAATGTTTCTCATTGTAACGAAACATATTATCATAACGTATATACCCTCTGATCCTAAATTATCATCTATCGGTTTTTTCTATGAAAAATATAACAAAGGTATCAAACTTCATAAAAAAAATGACGTTGTTGAGAAAACAAAATGAAGATTGATATATATTTCATTAGCTGTATAATATAGAAATTTCATCATGGTATAGTATTTGCCCGATATATTATACACTGTACCCACTCGATATCGCCATAATCTTTGCAGTTTTGAATATTTTTGTGACAATTCGCATGAGACTATAGTATTTTTACCCGTTAGGTCAGCAAAGGCGCCCTATTGAGCCTCATTCAGCCAGTAGGTACTTATATGTGTTATTCTTGAAACAATGGCATACGATCGGTTTTGATGTTTTCTAGGTGTTATACAGCCTATAGCGTAGGTGACATGTAGAGCCTCTTAACAGCGTATATGGAAGGGTGTTGTGTCGCATAGCGTGGATGCCTTGTATCCCAGTCCAGTCAATCTCCAAATCGACCAAGTCGGAACCACTTTCAGCTTGGCAGATCAGAACTGCTTGGGCCATATACTTCGACACTGTACCAAACACTTCCATTGCATTGATTGAAATGTTGCATTGCATTGAAACCGGAACTCTCCTCACAAGACATACTCAACTGGAGATCCAGCAAACAGCAGACCATTGGTCTATTTTGTTACGACAATATGAGGCCACGATCAAGCCACCTCAACCATACGATCCTTGTGGCAGTTTTGAAAGCTGCCTTGAAAACCGAAAATCGTGCCGAGTCTGAGCGTTGCCATTCTGCCACCCAGTTTGATAAGGACTGCTAGCGTGGAATTTCGGAATGCTCAACTGTAGCCCGTTTCGGAAGATGGGAGGGAGGGAGGGAGGTCCAGAACATTTCGAAACTGACCAGCTGAGCGAAGCCGAACCGACAAAGCGTTACGGTTTAGATCCTCGCCGCACTAATCAGTACCATCTCGACCAACGCACACCAGGTCTCACCGCAAGGCTAGAATTTCGAATCTAATCGATTAGAAGGTACATCAAGTGAAACTGCCCTTACAATAGCCAATAGGTTCTGGCTCTGGTTGCCTATGGAACTTCCACCCCCCTCTCCCACTTAAATCCCCAACCCAGCCTTTCACCAGAGACTCCATCGATTAAATATATACAATCTGTTAAAAAACGCTGTTACTGAAGAGTGTTTTGGAGGTGTGTATTGTTCAGGTCAAACTAAGAGACGACCTTGTGTGATATGGACCTTCAGCTCGTCTTTTCTGGTCTGGTCCCCTCACCTCTGCCTTCCTTGCAATTCAAGCTCCAACGCGTTTCCGCGTCTGCCGCGTGACTTCAGTTGGTTACTGTGCAAATGCTTCCGGGTCGTGTTTTTTCACCCGACTTTTGCACAGAAAGCAAATCAAATGCCGCTCGGTGTATTGTTTGCATCACTTGGCGCAACTACGAGTTGCCTTCACTGCCAGGGGAATTGAACAAGACAAGCGGAATGTGTCAATTGGTTGCTCCCCTGCTCTACATAAACTCAATGGCAGGCAATATTCACTCCAGACGCGACTCGTAATTTCCCGTACCGCGTCGCTCCCTCATTCCTGCTCGGAAGTGTCAGGCAGCAAAACACCAGTTTCACATTTCCACCGTCCCTCCGGTCCTCACAACCAGAGGAAAGTGTAGCAAATTTGGCAAGATTCATCTGTGCCCCATACCGCTCCCTCTTGATTTCATCCCAAATCCCTTTCCCCCACCGACACGGTCCTACATCCAACACTTCCACCCTGTCAGCCAGCCTACTTCAAAGCTGGTTCGACATCTGCAAATCCAACTCGTGCTGCTTTGTCACGCTCTTCGATCGGAAGTGCTTCACGTACCTCTCTTCCTCGCTGACGAACTCTGTAGCATCACCTCGCTGCATTGCGCCTTCCTTCCGTAACACCAACTCTGAGGCGATTCCAAGCCATAATTCCAGCCTGTGCGTGTGGCCACTGGGCGGTACGACGAACTCAACCTCGTCATAGAGCTGGTTTACCAACTCTTCTCTCCGCCAAAAAAAACACTACCCCACGTCGCCCACCTGTCGTCAATCCCAGCAGCACTACTATCACCAGCTGACACATCCTCTCGCTCCCTCTCACCCCGGTCACTAACCGGCGCGCTTGTCACCGCGTGAATCGCAGCGCCGCCGCCGGCGCTCATACCCACAGCGATGGCCTTCTCATCCGTCGTCGTCTTCCTCCCAGACGATTCTTTGGAGCTCTTTGAGCAACCCGGGGATCTTACAGCCGCCTCCGTGCTGCGCCAATATCCTGCCCACCAGCTCCAGCTGCACGTCGGCGCGCGTCGCGCCCTCGTCCCCGCGGATAAGGTTCTCGAACCCGGCAGCACCTACCACGTCGTCCCCGTGAATAGCGCGGAAGCCGTGACGGTTGCGGGTGGGGCTCATGGTAGCGGCGGTGACGGTAAGGGGAGTCGACCGCGAACGCCGACGTTGGACTTTTCGACGAGGACTGTCGGCGGCGCCGCTAGAGGCGGCGGTAGTTGCGGCGCTGACTCGGATCGATGCGCGTTTCCGCCTTTACAGGACGGCAAGGGTCACGCAGTCGCGGGCTCCGCCGCTGCCGCCGGCGCGGCGATGGCTGCTGGTGACGAGGAGGAGCAGGACGCGGTGCCGCCACTTCGCGCGAGTCGCGGCGGAAACTCCGCTGAAGACGACGCGCGCGCTGGGATGGCGGCGACGGCGGCGGCGATGATGCTGACTGGGCGCGCTGGCGGCGCGGGCATTCCGCAACGAGACGGGTTTCTGCGACTTATGGCGGAGGTGAGACGAGACGACATTTCTGCGACTCACAGGCGTGAGAAGCACAGCGTGCGAAAGATTAGGATCGTTCATATGGTATCTAGTCACGACGCGTTCTGTGGTACACGTCAAGACGTGACTAGTAGTAGAAAACACGTTCTTTAAGCTGAAAGAGAATCTCGAAGCCCGCTTCAGGTCGCCTGCGAAACTGTGCTGCACTTTGCGGGCTTTCCAGGGCCACGAAATCTTGATTTCCGAGAGTTTGAGGTGATACGATTGTCCAGACTCTGTCGCACTCTGTCTGAACACGCCATCCATGTCGCACGCACCATCCATGTCGCAAACACCATTCACGTAGCATACACGATCCGTGTCGCACGCACCATCCACATAGCACGCACGATCCGTGCCGCACGCACGATTCGTGCCGCATGCAGCTTGCACATCTCGGGCTCACTCTCCTGCCAACCTCTTCTCTCGTGCAAATCCCTTACCTATCCCTTCCCTGGCAGATTCACGACGGTTGTGACGGAGCCGCGGAGCTGGATCTAGGCCCGCCCGTCATTCGCTCCAACCGCAAATCGCGGAGCAACCAGGCGCCAGGAGATAGCAGCAGAGGCGGTAGAGAGGGGCCCGAATCCCACACAGGGGCTGACGGCGAAGAGGACAACGAGGAGGGGGAGGAGAGGCTAGGAGGTGATAGCCCACGCCGGCCTAGAATGTCGGAGGACTTTATATCGGTAGCGAACACATGCATGACGGATCCGGATATGTCCGGTGGGGAGAAGAAGCGCACGCTGGCTGCTGAGCTGGCGGACATGTCGACCACGATGACGAATGTGATGGTCCAGTCGCGCATGATGCGGGGAGGCGTGGTGTAGCTCGCACAGGATTAGGGTGGGAACTTGGAGGGCGAGCGCGTATGTGTTAAAGCCAGGATCTCAAGTAAGAGAATTGGCCTTCAATTGCAAAACACTTGCAGCGCTTGTTACCCTATTTTTGTAGGCGAATTGACTGGCTGGTTAGGAAAGTGAGCGTGCGGCACACCCACGATTTTGCCCCTAGAGCAAATGCAAAACATTTTGCTGGTACATGAGATTGTTGTGTGTGAAGAGAAATTGCAGGCATTGGAGCTTCGTCACCGAACCAGTTTCCGAGCCTTGCTTGGTTCGGACTGAACTTGCGATTTGTCTTTACTTCGCACCCCTCGCTTTACACCTCGTCAGATTGTTCACCTCGCTAACCAATCGCAGCCCATCTCCCCTCACCAACTGCAAAACAATTGAACTACTTGAGATCCTGGCTTTAAGGAATGCAAGAAGCACAAGGAGTGAACTCCTGAACTGGTCTCTGCAGTTCTATACTTTAAACGTTAGGTCTGTAGGGTAACTCCAGTTTCGTTAGGTGCAGGTGTGTCCTTGGTTTATTACCGTACTTTCCTTTCTTGTCATTCCACAGAGTATCACATGCAGCTGAGCTGAGTGCGTGAAACTCCAGCCGGAGCATTGTAGGTTCAGCATTGTCTGGAAAATTATTTAGAAAGCTCTCTTCTTTTTGGTCCAGGTCTTTCCGGGATGCAGTTTTGAGATGTAAGGGCGTATCTCAGGGTTCGGGTCATGAGCACTGTTCCGGGCATCCGGAAATTGCGCATGACCCGAAGTGGGCTGCCGAGCCGCGCGCAGCCCCAGCTTTGGGTCAGTGTGCAGGTGTTGGGCGACTGACGTGCACGACCCAGGCCCAACCAATCACCTGATCGTACGATTCTGGTTTTACTGCCATCTCTTAGGCGGTCGTCAGTCGAGTGTCACAAGTGGGCAATGTCCCACGCCCTACACCTCTGCACCCAACCACTCGGCAAATTGACCCCCCTAACCTCGATGTGCCTGACATTTCCCGCGTCGCCCTCCCAACATTTGGGGACTTAGGGTGCATTCCTGTGGAGACACAAATGTCTCAATCGCTTTGTGACACACAAAAACAGCATAAACTGTAGTGTGTCCCAATTGCGAGTCGCATTTCCGCGACCATTACTGTATTTTTTATTGGTCAGCGTGAAACGCGCTGACGTCGCTGACGAATTGTAATCCGACTCGTCAATGTTAAAAATTCGCACGCGGCTCGAAATGTCAATGCACCTGGACAGCCTGCAATGCCAATTTCGTGCGGGAAAAAATCCCGCTCGTCGAAACCACACCCCAGCCAAGCGGTTGAAAAAAGGGACGTACAGTCATTTGTGTCACCCAAACAAATGCGCACAACTGTACATCTCGCCTGGTCGCCTAGAGTCGCGATACATTGGTTGTTTGTGACACAACATTTGGCAAATTTACAGGCGCGACTCGGGAAATCGGGGATTGAGACACAAGTGTCCCCGCAGGAATGTACCCTTATTACGGTAGGCCGGGAATTATTACGATTGTGTTTTGTTCGGTGGGTGTCGCGTGGTCTTGCGTGGGTGTTGTCGCTAATCATCTGTCGAACTGTTTTGGCAACCCTCCATTGGACGCGACTGCCGTGGCGGGCGTGATTTTGGCGCAAAAACCTACGCGGCAATTTGGGGGTCGCATGCGTTCCCTAAACCCAAAGTGGCGTTTTATGTTGTTTGGGTCATCCGCAAATCGCGCATGCCCGGAACAGTGCTCATGACCGGAACCAGAGATACGCCCTAAGTGGTCTTAGGTTCATCTCTCTGTTCCTCAAACAAAAATATGGATACTGCCTTACCATAGTTACAAAATGCGAATGAATACAAGTCCACCTTTTTTTGGAACCAATAAGCTTCTAATAAGAAAGTGCCTCTGTTCAAGAGGTGGGCAAGATGGAGCAGGAAACAGCTGAAAGCACGAGGGGCGTTGCAGGCGGCGACAAAGACAGCGCAGGAGTCTTCAACTTGAGCTAGCTCCTTTATTTGTTGCTCATGCCTTCGTTGACATTGTAACGTTTTGCTTGATACTGGATTCCTCTCTTGTTCTCTCCTCAATTACGTGTATGGTTACGTAATTAGATATGCACATGTTCATTCAAATACATCAGGACCTAAGACTTAGGGCGCGTAACCATTTTGCACCCGACGGTTCGAACCGTGGACCGTCCGGGTAGCGAAACGGTAACAAGCTTCGCACAATGTCGTAATCATGTTCGCTGAGGTGTTGGCGACATCGCCAACAAAACGGACTGTAGTGACACTTTTTCCCACTTCAACGGTCCGAAATCTGAACCGTGGACGGTCCGAATCCCAAACGGACTGTCCGACAGTCCTTGCACACGATTGGAGGGCGACGCAAAAACTGTCGAGTCACCTCGTCCACCAACAAAAACGTACGAGGCTACTTCACGAATCAACATTGACCAACCAGAGACAACCCATAAACAAAAATGATTCGATAACGACATTTGCGAGCTTGAGAGAATTGCGTAACGCTTGTACAGTGATCGCGAAACTGTACATTATGAAAAAAGTGTCACAACTGGTCTTCGGACAGTCCGAAGTTGCAAAAAAGTCAGTCGGACGGTCCCGTTCTCGATAGGTGGACCGTCCACTTCGTTTTAAGCGGACTGTCCGTCAAAATCGTAAAATGCAAAATGGTTACGCGCCCTTATCCTTTCCCAATCTGATAGCAAGGCGCTCCGTCAGTGGTGGCAGAGCAGGGGCTTTTGCCGGGGAAAAGCTTTCACCCCGCGAAAACATGACGACTGACAGAAGGGTTCGCACGGTCGCACTAGTACTTCCATGCACAGACCACTTTCACCATCACCACTTCACACCGAGAATTCACCCTTTGAAATTCGAGTTTGCCTTGCTAGGGTGAATTTGTCTAGCAAGTACGGTACGTCAGCTTGACAACTTTCACTCACACATCAACAAATTCATCTCACTACTCTTTCATCTTCTTCAGCTAGCGGGCATTCTTGACTAGATCAATACGCTCAAGTTAGCGTCCTTTCTTGGCTCACTCACGCCATCACTCGCGCAGCATGGGAGACAACGGCGATGATTCCGATTCGGATTTGCCGAGCCTCGTAAGCGAGAGCGATGTGGAGGTGCATGCGGGGGAGGCGGAGGCGAAGGACGAGGGGAAGGAGAGTGACGAGGACGCTGGTGGTGCCGGCGAGGAGAAAAGCTACGAGTTCACTCATGAGGAATACTACGAGGACATTTATGGCGACTTTGACGAAGAAGAAGACGATGATGACGACGACGACGACGACGATGGCGAAGATCTTGACGACGAAGAGGATTTTTGGGAAAGCGAGAGGGCCCGCGGTGGCGACGGTGCGAAGATGCTTCGAGGCCTCGTCGAACCCAAGGTTGGCGACCAGCGCGCCGGCAAGAACGCCGGCGGCGGCGACGGCGGCGGTGATTCGGGTGCTGCAGGCGCGCCGGGGCTGCGGAAGGGGTTTCTGAACCA